ATACAGGCCATCACGCACGAACGCGCTGTTCGCGCACATCGTCGAACCAAGCGCGGCATGTTGCAACGCGCAACGCAGGGCCGCCAGCTCGGCGGCGTCGATGGCAACTATGCCGAAGCCGAGCGCGCCACTACGCACGGAGAGGGCGCGATCGGTCTCGGGGTGGACAATCACTACGGCCCATGCGGCGGCCTGCAAATCCAACGGAGGACGCAGGTCCACCCAGGACCCGTCGAGAAAGATGCGCCCTCCCATCTCCGCAGGCCCCCCTCCGAACCATCGAGAAGGCGGGCGCGGGGGCGACGGGGGAAGCACGAGAGGGGCAAGGATCCTCTCAGCGAACAAACGAGGAAGGGGGTTGCAAGAAGCGCGCACCAGGCCTTCTGTAAACGCGGGCGGCCGCGCATCGGTCTGCATCTCCTCGCGCTCGCCGCGGGCGGCACGTCGGCGCAACGAAGTGCCCGGGGCCTCCTGGCACAGCTGACACGTTTCCTCCCTCACGAGCCCCGCCCCCCACTGCCGGCGCCGCGGCCACTGGCCTCCAGCAGAAACAGAGCGCAGGTGCCCTTTCTCATGCGGCGAGAGGGCGGAACCACGCCAGAGGGAGCGGAGCGGGGCAAAGCGGGGGCCGTTCTCAAGCTCAGGCACGCCCTCGCGCCGCGCCACCCTGCGCCACAACCAATGCTCAATGACATGCTCGAGCCGCGCGCGCACAGCGCGCGGCGATTGCTCAATCAAAATGACCGAGCCGCGCCTCTCGTGGCTCCAGGGGAAACCGCTAACAAAGAAACCGAGTCGCTTGGCCGCGGCAGCGCACGCAGAAAGGGGGCCTCGAATCGCGGCCCAGGGATCCCCGTGGCCCCGAAGCGCCGCCACCGCAGAAACAAGCCCTTGGAGTAAAACCTCCCCGGGGAGATGCTCATCCCACACGGCGACAGCAAAATTGACCAGCTGATCAACTTCGAGCGGTAAGATGGATTACAGAGGCGAACAGGAAACAACATCGACATAAGAGAAACGCTTTTCCCAGCGAGACTGAAACTCTGAACACGGGCTTGCTGCGCCCGAGCCTCGCGCAACGCAAAACTGCGAGCGCCGCGCGCGCACCCCCCATACTTCGAGGAGGTCAAGACAGCAGCCTGCAGCATAGTGCGCAATCTGGATTGCCGAACATGCTTGGCGAAATGCATGAGCTCGCGGGCCCGAGCACGAGCTGGCCACCTGCGTGCCTGGCCAAGCGCGGCTGAACTACGGAAGCAGAGAAATCAACGTCAAGGTTGCGCACATTGGAGGAGCCCTGAACCCTATAGCTACGCAGCTCGCGCACAAGCTGAGCTCGGACCGAAGGCGGCGACGACGCGACGCGGCTCTTCCGACGCGAGCCAGGGAGATATATTAGGTCCAGCTCAACGCGCAGCATCTTGATGGCACTCACCAGGTCGGCAAACAGATCTTGGAGCCGTCCAACCTGGCGCAGCCCAAAGTCATCGACAACGACCCCAAGCCGCATCAGGCGATGGCGCTCAAGGACCCTGTCCACTGGCCCAAGGAGCACCATCTGAAGCATGAGCGCCGCAAAGTGACACCCTGGCAAACCGCCTGCGACGCGCATACTGGGGGCGAGACGGCGCCATCCATCGACAGACCGCGAGGCGCTCTATAATAAAGCATCACGAGCAACATCAACTGGCGGAGCGGAAAACCAGCGCTGGCTGCAGCACGCATCAGCTCGATGTGACGGATATGCTCGAAGGCCTCCTGCTAATCAGAAAGGACGAGGCCACTCATGAACCCTCGCTCCCGCGCCCACTCCGAGCTGGCGGCTTGGATCCAGACAAGCTTGTCGCTGCCGCGGCCACTGGTGGCCCACCAATACGGGCCGGGGTGCTCGACCTGCCACCGCCCGACAAGCGGTTGTCGGAGGCGCCCTTGCACTCGAGCCAGAATGTGGATCAAGGCAACGGGCCTGAGGCCACCCTCCCGTTGGGCAAAGAAGACGACTTTAGCGTGGTACTCTGGCCAGCTGCAAGACCCTTCTACATCAGGCCATCGTCGGAAAGCGCCAAAAGCTGCCGAGGTGAAATCTGATCGAAACCGCATCCAGACCTACACGGGAACGCGTTCAACGCGCAGTTAGGTCTTCCAGAGTGGGCACGGGAAACTCTGGACCTAAATATGTAGGCCACGACAGATCATCCCCAAGGGCGCCGATCTTCCACCACCCAGACCACTCCTCCTCCAAAAGCTGAACCTCCTCGTTCTTGGTGGCGGGCGCCCATGAGGGAGAAAGGCTGCCGGCGCGCCGCAGCGCAGTTGGCTCGCTGCACGCACGGAGGGCCGCGCCTCTGTTCAGCGTGTGAGATTCGACCCAAGACTTCCAGACGCGACACTTGCCGTTCTCAGCAGCTCGATGCGCGGCCACAGCACGCGCGCGCGCAACCCACGCGAACGCGCGCGCAAGCGCGCGCGAGAAAGAGGCGTCAATGCGCAACACTGCGCACCACATCACCCGTGCCACTGGCGCCCCGCGGCGAGCTCACGCGCCAAACGTAGCGCGCAGTTGCGAAGGGCAGGCGGCTGCCACACTGCGAGACAGTCCAGGCACCTAGCGAGAAGCCTCCACCGCAAAGCACCGGCGCCCAGACGCGGACAGTCGAGGTCCTTCCCACGAGGTGCCTGCCTCACGCTGAAAACGGGGCCTTCCGACCTGCCAAAAAACTGCGGGTCTGCCTCGACATCAAGATCGCGCACGTCGGCCCAACCACGCTCAGCCTGGTCGAGCCAGAGGCGCCACTTGCCATCGACATCGAGACCCTCGGACTGAATGCTGTAATCTACCCAATGCAATGCAGGATCGGCGCGGCGGCAGCCAACAAGAATGACAGTCGGCAGGCGCTCGGGCACCTCGGCGACCAGGTAGCTCAGATCGCGAGGGCCCATCTGCCGCATCGCGAGGGCGCCGGGGTAGTGCGGCGCGGCGCCGCCGTCGACAGGGATCTCGGCTCGTGCCCCATAGTGCAGGCAGCGGGAGACCACAAAGAAGTCAACGCACCTGCCAGCCCCGACCGAGCTGTCGGTACACGTAGCACAGGGAGGCGCCACACACATCGCATCGATGGCCTCCGTCCATTCGGAGCCGATCAGAGTCTCAGGCAGCATCTGGAAGTCACCACACAGCACGAAGGGAACGGCCAGCAGGGCATCGCCGAGCGACGCGAGGATGCGCCAGTTCTTGGGCCCCAGTCTTGACCACGATGCAAGTATACCGCGGCAAACGCGAAACAACCTGGGACCAGGCCATGACAGTGTAGAATGCGAAGGCGCCCCGCAGCAACGTCGGCATGGCCTCTACGACCTCGAATCGTCGCAAGCCCAAGCCTTGGGCACCATCTGCAGGAACCCGCCAGAGTTGACGCCTCGCCCAGTGTCAGCAGCAGCCTGAACCGATGCCTTCCATCCAGCCTTGCCCAAGGTACTCTCCCACGCATCAACTTTGGAGCTGTCAAGGTGATGCTCCTGTACAGCAATGGCATCGGCGGCCAACGCCCTCGGGTGCTTCAAAATCGACTCGAGCCCAACTAAGCCAGTGACATTGCTGGTGACGATAGTGAACGCGGTGGAAACATGGTCGCGCCTGCTACCCAGACGCTGGACCAGACTTGGCCTTCTTCTGCTTGGCCTGATTGAGAATTGAATCGACGATCCCTTGCACCAGCTCGTGCTTGACCCCATGCTTGTCGGCAAGGATGGCGGCAGCGGACTGGGCAGGGACGGCGCCTTCACCATCCTCTGCGCGGGGATCGCTGGTCTGCTGCTGGCACCACTCGAGCAGCTCATGGTAGGCGGCCTCCGCACGCTGCCGTGTGGCTGCGGCGTCGCTGGCGCCAGCAGCAGGAGTGCCTGGTGCGCCTGGCTGCTGCGGCTGCTCAGCGGCGGTGGACACGGCAGCGGGTGCGCTGGCGGCTGGGGGAGGCTCCCCATCGTCGCGCATAGCGGCATCATCAACAGCATGTGCAGGAGCAGGAGTCGCCAGGACGGCCTGCAGGCTCGGCAGGAGCCCCTAGAGCTGCGTGGCGAAGGCTTGCAACCGCTGGTCCTTGGCGACGGTCTCGGCCAGGGCGCTGAGCTGCTGGACGGGTCCACCTTCGACGAACACGGCCGACCCCATCTCCGCATACGCCTTGGCTGCCCTATCGGCGGCCTCCTTGCACTTAGTGTTGAGCACGTCCAGCTCAGATTTGAGCTTGGCGGCCCGAGCGACCGCCTGATTGGCCTGCTCCAATGTCTTGTCGTAGGCGCGCTGCGCCTTGTCGCGCTGGTCCGACAGCTGGTCCTGCGCGACTCTGGCCTCCTTCGCAGACGCGACGGGCTCGCCCTGCAGCAGCACCCTCCTGGCCAGCACGCGAGCGACCTGCTTGGGCGGCCACGCGGTGGACAGCTTGCTGAAGTCATCCACGTTGAACTTCGCGTACACATTGAGCGATTCCTCATCCAGGATCATGGCGGCACTGCCATGGAGCGGCGGCGGGCCGCGCTGCCAAGCGCCTTGAGCCTTGCCGCCACTGGGCTGGACCTTGGGCACATTGGTGGGCGCTAGCTTGCCGCACACACGGCAGGCATCGCGAGAGAGAAAATAGTGTTTGTAGCTACACTTTCTGTCACTGCAAGCCCAAGTCCTGAAACCATCTGGTGCCATCGACGTGCCGTGACAAGTGCGCGCACAAGTGCGGGACGGGACCGCAATGCAATATCGAAGAAAGGGTGAAGGTGCTGCCTCCAAGATCGAATGGGGCCGCTGATCCCCAGTGCCAAACCAAATGCTCACGTCCTGAACCACCGCTACGGACTTGAACCAAAATGGCTTCGGACCTCCTCCTGCTCCTCCTCCTCCTCCTCCTCCTCCTCCTCCTCCTCCTCCTCCTCCTCCTCCTCCTCCTCCTCCTCCTCCTCCTCCTCCTCCTCCTCCTCCTCCTCCTCCCTGCTCGACCTTTCACGGCGCGTCACGCCCGAATTCTGGCACCGCTGGCCCGCAGCGGCCGCCGGAGCAGCCGGCGGCCCGGGCCGCTGGGAGCAGCGGCGCCTGAGCGGCGACGAGCGGCGGCCAGCGACGAGCGGCGGCCAGCGACGACGACGACGACGACGACGACGACGACGACGACGACGACGACGACGACGACGACGACGACGACGACGGCGGCGGCGGCGGCGGCGGCGGCGGCGGCGGCGAGCAACGGCGGCGTCGACGACGACGGCGACGAGCGACGGCGGCGACGCCTGGACGAAAACGGCGACGGACGACGGCGACGACGAGCCAGACACCAGGCGTCGTCGGGGGGGAGGGGGAACGGTGGACGTTTCTCGATGGTTGCGGCCTGTCAGAGGGCGTTTTCGGGCCCCGAGGCAGTCAGAATCGACCAGCGACACGAAATCGTCCTGCGGGGGGGTCGAGAACTCTGGAGGCCCAGACCGTGAAAAATACACGACGTCAAAGTATGGGAAACAGCCTGCGAAAATGCTCAGCAACTTTCAGCCGCTTCCAGGCAATTCACATGTGTCGTGTTAGGAGGTCGGTGGATTCGAGAAGTTGCTGGAATCTGAGGGGGACGCGGAAATGCAGACGGTCGACCGTATGAACAAGGACGCAACGCAATCGTGCAAGACCATTGGCCGCCCACACACACACACACACACACAAACACACACACACACACACACACACACACACACACACACACACACACATTCATCGCATCCGCAGCAATGCCCATGCTGAAGCGTTTCCTCCTGAGTGGTCGACTGTAGTCTTGAGCGTCCTGATGCCAGCAACGTTGCCGCCGTCGCCCGGGCGACTGGAGAGCAGCCGACGTCGCTGCTAGCACTTGGACGTCCCGCAAAGGTGGTCGGGTGCGCTTGGCTAAGCGTACACACCAAGGTATCACATGCGCGCGGCAATAAATTCTCGATGACGGCACTGCTCGGACAGGTGACAGCGGGGAGCGCGAGCGCTTCTGGCCCCCTCCGGGTCCCCTGGACCTGGCCGAACCCGGCGCTGCCCTCCAAAACGCCCACCCCAATACAGCAGGCACGCAAAATGAGAAACCAGCCTGCCAGCAGGTGCCGCAGGAAAGTTTCTTATCCCAGATGGCCCCAAGGGGCCCCGGAAGCCATGGGGCATCTCAGGCAGCTCGAAACTTCGAGACAAACATGCTCCTATAATTCTTCTCGCCGAATTTCTTATCGTATGTACTAACGCAACAATCCCGAACATGATGGAACTCGGCAGGGTCGTCTGCCGGCATCCACATCAAAATAACAAATGTCCCTTTTACCTAAACATGTTCCGCACCTCACCCAGACTTTCGACGTCCATCTTTTCCGTAGCGTGGGCACCTGGAACTCTCGACCCCTTCCCAAGTCCGGCTGCTCATCTCGGGATGCTGTGCAACAGCTCTGGAGCCCGAAACGGCCCATGAGAGGCCCAGAGTGAAGAGAAGCCCCTCATCCCCATGTTTCCGTGACGAACGAGAAAATCTGCCACCTTGCCCGCTGGCACGTTGAGGCGTGGTGGCATGCCAAGTGCTATCTGGTAGGATTGATGTAAGTTCTCCAAGGGAGCCCCCCCTCATCGTCACACTACCTCCCGAGGCTCGACCAAGATGCCCAAGATGACTTCCAAGACGGCCCAGGCAAGCCACCAAGGCTGCCAAGACGGCCCAAGATGCCCCCAAGACTGCCCAACATGGCCTCAAAACAGCCCCACATGGCCTCAAGACGGCCCAACATGGCCTCAAGACGGCCCAACATGGCCCCCAAGACGGCCCAAGAGAGCTACGAGAGGACCTCAAGGACGACAAGAAGGCGTCAAGAAAGGAGTTGGAGTACCATGTGGGACCTGGTCCAGAACAGGAGCACACCGCGCAGACGGATCTGTCCTTTCTCCAGACTTGTACTGCGCCGAGCGCAATGGCCACGTTGTCTCTAGGCGTATCCACCCGACATGTCTATATACATATGCCCATATAAATATATTTACACACACGTGTTCGGCACAGGCCCGAGATGTTAGTCTGCTAGAAGCAGGTAGACTTTTGCCCTCCAACGGGAGGAGGGGAGGAGGGGCACTCCTCATTCATTTTTTGAAGCACCGCTAGCCACACCGACACAGGCCCCATCCATGCAGACGCAGAAACCTGCGCTCCAACATTCCGTGCGCTGCGGTGGATCTCCGATGGATCAGCCGGGATAATGAACACTGGGGACAATACTTGGAGCACTCCTCCCCTCCGCCCCTCCCTCCCCGCCCTTCCCAGCGCGAACGCGGCCTGCGGGTCTCCCCCAGACGCCTCCTCCCCGCAATCGCCGCCGCGCACTTGGCCGCCCCACCGGCAAGCACCTCGGGCGGAGGAGGCAGCCCGGTGCGGGTTCGGGGGAGGGGCGACGGCGAAGACGACCATGGCGACAAGGGGAGGAGGACGAGAGGTTTTGACGTTCTGCTCGCCATGTCGTGGGACTCCTGCTGGGGTGGCCCTCGTCGTCACGGCTGGATCCGCCTCGGAATCATGGCCAGAGCTCGCACCAAGACAAGTGTGGACGACGACGACGACGACGACGACGTCAGACGGCAAATGAAGCCTCCAAAGATAGCCCAGATATGGCCGCAGAAACACCCAGCTAGCTGCCGAGGGAGTTCCCAGTCGGCTCTAGTCTGCCCCTAAGAACCGCTCCGCGACAGGCTCTCGAAGCCCTAAAGAGTCTGCTCAGACATGCCACGTGAATCAAATGAGAATGAGACGAGACGGTGTTCTCTTTCTGCCGTTGCTGTCCGGAGGCCGGGCCAGGGCGTACAGGTGAGCGCGCGGTCTGCAGCGATCGCACCCAAGAGGTATTCAAAGGCCCCAAACGGTTCCGATAGAGCCGAAAGGGCCTCACGACCAAAACGCTCCAACATAGAGCCAAACACCTCCCAATGCGTCCCCATGGCACGAAGACGGATGGCCAACACAGATCCACCTCTACTCATCCTCCTGATCCTTTTCATTATCATCGTCTTCCTCCTCCTCCTCCTCTGGCTGTCACCATTCGCAATCCGCCAACGTGCCTGCGGCACGTTGAGGCGTGGAAGAATGCCAAGGGCTGCTTGTCAAGGATTCTGGAATCTTCTGAGGGACCCCCCACCTGCTCCGGTAGCACCCGCCTGACTGCACCACCCCTACTTCTGGGGGGTCCCTGGGCGGCCATGGCGCCTCCCTGGGGCTCTCCTAGGCTTTCATGACGGCACAGGAGGCCCCCAAGACGGTCCAAGAGGGCCCCAAGTCGCCGAACGATTGCTCGAAGACGCCCAAGATGGCCTCAAGATGACCTCCAAGATGCCCGAAGATGCCTCCAAAAGGCCTCCCAAGAGCGCCCCAAGAGCCCCAAGAGGCAAAGTTCACTGATTTCCCTCCCGTGTTTGGGATTTTGGCGCTCTCGCCTTTTCGGCTTTCCAACACTCCAAGACGGCCCAAGAGGCCCCCAAGAACACCCCCAAACGGCTCAAGAGGCCTCCAAAAGGGTTACAAGACGGCCTAAAAGCGCCCCAAGACGGCCTAAGAGGCGCCCAAGACGGCCCAAGAGGATCCCAAGACGGCCCCAACAGGGACCCAAGAGAGGAAACACAAGCCCCCAGGAGGCCCCAAGAGGCGCCCAAGAGGCCCCAAGAGGCCCCCAAGAGGCCCCCAAGAGTCCCAAAGAGGGCCCCAAGAGGCCCAAAAGAAGCCCCAAAACGGCACCAAAACGGCCCTCAAGAGGCCTCAAAACTGCCTCCAAACGAACATCCAGTAGGCTTCAAACCCACAACCTCGGCACGGAGGCGGGACTTGCTGTAGGCAGTTGGATATTACTATAGTATGACTCCATCAGCATCATCATCATCATCATCATCATCATCATCATCATCATCATCATCATCATCATCATCATCATCATCGTCAGCATCAGCATCAGCATCAGCATCAGCATCAGCATCAGCATCAGCATCAGCATCGTCGTCAGCATCAGCATCATCATCACCAGCAGCAGCATCATCATTATCTCCATCATCATCATCAGCAGCATCATCAACCTCATCATCAGCATCATCAGCAGCAGCATCATCACCATCATCATCGTCGTCGTCAGCAGCAGCAGCATCGGCATCGGCATCATCATCATCATCATCAGCATCATCATCACTATCATCATCATCAGCAGCAGCATCAGCAGCAGCTTCATCGTGACCATCATCAGCATCATCATCATCATCATCATCATCATCATCATCATCATCATGTTCATCACCATCGTCGTTAATATCAGTTTCACCATCATCATCATCAGCAGCAGCATTAGCATCAGCATCATCATCATCGTCGTCATCGTCATCGTCATCGTCGTTATCATCATCAGCAGCAGCAGCCGCAACATCATCATCATCATCATCATCAGCATCATCATCATCATAATGGGAATCATCAGCAGCAGCAGCAACAACATCGTCATCAGCAGCATCAATCAGCGTAATGATCGTCAGCGACCGCATCATCAAAACCATCATCATCCTCTACATAATAGTCAGCATCATCATCATCATGACCAACTACATTATCATCATCAGCATCATCAGCAGCATCAGCATCCTCAGTGTCATCCGCATTATCATCACCATCACAAAACATCACGTTCGCGATCATCGTTGCAACCACCATCGTCACCTGATCATCAGCAGCAGCAAGATATCACCATCCGCAACAACCATCAGCATCATCATAATGTTCTTCAACATCATCATCATCATCATCATCATCATCATCATCATCATCAGCATCATCATCAGCATCATCATCAGCAGCATCATCGTCGTCGCCATCAGCATCATCATCATGAGCATCGACAGCATCACCATCAGCATCATCAGAAAGGATCATCGTCATTACAACCACCATCGTCACAACCACCATCATCGTCATCATCATCAGCATCATCATTATCAGCGGCAGCAGCATATACATCATCATCCGCAGCAGCTACATAATCGTCATCAACCACAAAAACAACAAGAACCACATCATTATCATCAGCATCATCATCATCAGCTGCAGCAGCATCATCATCATCATGCCACCACACGCCCTTCCCGCCTTCAGAGCGGGAACCGACTGACCCAGAGCCCATGGTTACCAAGCCGGAGGGAGGGAGGGTGGTTGGGAGGGAGGGAGGGGGAGTGAGAGAGAGAGGGCCGGAGGGAGTGAGGAAAGAGAGGGAGGGAGAGGGGAGAGATGGATGGGTGGAGGGAGGGAAAAGAGAGAGAGAGAGGAGAGGGACAAAGGGAAGGGTGAAAGGGCGAGAGGAGGGAGAGATGGATGGGTGGATGAAGGGAGGGAAGGAGAGAGGGAAGCTGCGCAGGAGGCCCCTTTTTTGGCGACCTCTGCGCGAGCGCGCGCGCGCGCCGCACAATGGAGAGCCCTCAGGCCCTCAGGTCTGCTGGCCGACCTTGGTCGGCCACAGGGCCTGGCACAGACTCGGAGTCGCCGCCGCCGTCGTCGCTGTCGCCGTCATTGTCCCATAACCGAAATACGCTCAGAGGCGGACGGCCCCAAGACCCCTCCCAGAGTCCATCCGGACCGCCGTCACCGCCGCCGTCGTCGTTGTCGTCGTCGTCGTGTCGTCGTCGTTGTCGCTGTCGTCGTCGTCGTCGTCGTCGCCGCCGCCGCCGCCACCGCCGTCGTCGTCGTCGCCGTCGCCGTCATCGTCGCCGTCGCCGCCGCCGACGCCGCCGTCGTTGTCGTCGTCGTTGCTGTCGTCGCCGTCGTCATCATCGTCATCATCATCAGCAGCATCATCATCCTCCTCCTCCCTCCTCGTCGTCGCCGTCGTCGATCGTCGCCCCTTGACCGAGATCCGCCCAGAGCCAGCCCCTGGACCCCTCCCAGGGCTGCCGCCGCCGCCGTCGCCGCAGCCGCCGCTGGCGTTGTTGTCATCGGTATCGCAGTCGTGCCCTAATCAAGAGACATCCCAGCAGCCCTTTAGGGCGTGAGTGGTTCAGCGAATGTCCTCTTCCAAACCCCTTCTCTCTCTTCCCCCTCGGGTAGGGGTCATGACTGTTCCCTATTAACAAACACCCCTTCCCCCAGGCGACCGGCAGCCAACCAGGAACAATGACAAACCCCCCAACCAGCCCTTTCGAAAAACAACGCCGATACACACTCCAATATCTTGAGTCATGCTCGTGGGCCCCGCGAGCATTTTGTACGGTTTTTGCGACAGGGACGGCGGGGGGGGATCATATTGCCTGCCGTGCGCAGGCCCACCATCCGTGCCCAAAAAGAACACAAAGCGCATTTCACAGCTGAATCTGGATCATGCATGGCCACCCCGCGGTCACTTTGCATTGGTTTTTGACAAGGGCGGCGGGGGTGGTGGCATATTGCCTGCTGTGTGCAGGCCCATCAGACACCATGATGGCCACCCCGCCGCGATTGCACATTGGCTTTCGACAAAGACGGTGGGGGCCGACATGTTTCCCGCTGTGTGGTGTCACGTGCGCGGGCGCATCTGGCACACTCTGCGCGTGCCCCCAACGTGGCGCCCCTGGCGCAGCTAAAGCGGACAGCACACACATGGCTCTCATGGAGCACGTGGCGCATCTGGCGCGCCATGCGTGCCTGGCACGCTTGGGCCCCAGGGGTGCCTGGCGCACCTGGCGCGCGTGGCGCGCCTGGCACGCATGACGCACCTCGCCCCAGCATCGCGCACATGGGGGTTGTTGCTGGTTCCCAGTAGCTGGCCATCCATAGACGACCGCTGAACACGCTGAGGCTGGGGTGCCACTTATGTGTTGGGAGGGCGGGTGGGAGTGAGCGGGACGGCTTGCAGGCGGGGAGGGTGCCTTGACCCCTCCCCCTACCCTCTGCCCCTGGGTCTGGATGAGGCCTTTCGCGAGGTGTCAGGGGGTCATTTTGGGCCTCGGCGAGAAAACAAAATCATTGATTGTACGTAGGTGTTGGCCACAGTTTGGCCTCCTCAGGGAGGGACCCTCCTCCTTTGATCGACCTCCTCCAAGATGGCCCCAAGATGGCCTCCAAGGCTCCCAAGGGTACCCCAACATGGCCCCTAGAGGTGCCCAGGAGGCCCTAAGAAGCCCCAAAGAGGTCCCCGAAAGGCACCCTATAAAAGGCTTCCCAGAGACCCCCAAGACGCCCCAAGAGGCCCCCAGCGGCACCCAAGACGCCCCAAGAGGCCCCCCGGACTGTCAAGAGAACCCCAAGATGCCCCAAGGGGACTCCAAGAAGCTTTCGAAAGAAATCCTAAAAGACTCCGAGAGGCACCCAAGAGGCCTCTGGCCTTTCTGGTCGCCCTCCTCCTCCTCCTCCTTCTTCT